GAGTCGAATTGATTACCTGCATTATTTCGTTAACGTTTTTGTTGTAAATTGGTTATTGGGTACATCTTTCTGCACCTTGCAGCACAGAAGAACAGAAGGCACAGAAGAACAGGAGGCACAGTAGAACAGGAGGCACAGAAAAACAGGAAGCACCGAAGAACAGGAAGCACGGGAGAACAGGAGGCACAGAGGAACAGGAGGCACAGAGGAACAGGTGGCACAGAAGAACAGGAGGCACAGAGGAACAGGAGGCACAGAAGAACAGGTGGCACAGAGGAACAGGAGGCATAGAAGAACAGGAGGCACTGCAGGCAACAGTGGGCTCCGCTCACGGAAAAAGAAGAAAATATTATCACTCGGGGGCGCCCTACACCCAATATAAGTCCCAAGTGTTTGTCTGAGATAAACTAATGCGAAGAAAAGAGGACTACACAAGGTTCGTGTGAAGATTTCATCTTATCAGTTACATCATTCTGCTTATCATTATTAAAATAATATCATAAGTTTAGCTTTATAAACTCATATCACTGCATCTGAATCAGCTGATAAAACCTATGTCAAAGTCTGATATTATTTGACGAAATGTAATGATATTTCACAGTACGTCACCTTTCACTATTGCGGATGCAAACATTTAGCAAAATGAGGAATTTGACGCCCTTGCCTGTGAATCGAGTGAACGTCGACATAAACAAATTTACGGGATTTGACAAGGTTTCAAAAAGACCACTCGATTAAACTGAGAGTGACGCGCAACCCTTAATGGAATATTGACATGTTGTATGACTTGTCTATCTGCACCAGACACAACACGATTTTCTGCGCTCTTCCTTCCTAACAAGAATGACATATTAGCCTGCTCGCGGGTTAGTTAAGAAAAGGTGGAGACTAGAACCAAAAAACAGGTCACTTTCCCTCTAAAAGCTAGGAAAATAACGGTAGCTAGGCTGTTGTTGGGAAGAGGCTCTCGAATGTAATCTTCTCAGTGATTGCAATCAAGGAATTATTATCTAGGTTATGCATCATCTTCATTTATATTGTTTCTAACAGCTGACATCTAATTTCTCATAAACATGTTTTTGTACATGAGTTCACGTTCTTTCGGTAATTAAATTTTTCTAACGCCGTGAAAAACAAAAACAATGTCCATTGCACGTACGTATAGTACTCTCACGAATCAAAAACAGAATGGTTAAGAGGAAAATTAAATGTTTTCATGAAGCTGAAAATCACCGTCAGGCTGTCTATGTTACCACTTAGGGCTTTCATGACTTTTTATATTTATTAGCCGCTCTTCTCTTCTGTTTTTGAATCAAAAACTTGATTTGTATACAATATAACTCTATAGTCCCATCGTTCTTTTCATAAGTGACTCATATGAAAAATAATATTCAGTGAAGCCAACGCTGTATTTGTCCATTGCCGACGTATTTTGACAAATATCGATGGCGATTTTACGAGAAAAACAACTTACTGTGATTTTTTGGAAAATTTAGGAAATTATCTTCCGGACGCTTAGGAGATATTGCCTTCAACCCGCCTTCCTCATTTGTATTCATTTGTCCCGAACTTTTGAAATATGTTTTTGTTCTTTTGGCGCCGTCATGAATGCCATGTGTTTTATTTTTTCGACTTTTATTAATGCCTCCCACGTATCAAATTTTTGAAGGCAGGAAGCGTTCGTGGAAAACAAAAATAAGAGAAGGAAATGTGATAGGAAACACGAAAGCAAGCAATTTATTTTGGTAACATGAAAAAATACAAATTGAAATGTCACTCTATGAGTTCGAAAGGCCCGTCTGTACCAGGTACACGGGGATCAACTGTTAGAAAAATAACACTTACTGATCCTGTGATAGCACGCTGAGCGTGGAAACAAATACTGATCAGACCTCTATACAAGGAGGAAAGAAGGTAAAACGCTTGTTACAAAAAGCACAATTAGTTTCGATGTCGGAAGACTGACGCAGGAGAAACTCAATCGTAAATACCCTACATTTAATTACATATGCTTTGGAAAAACTGTTTCTCTCCTAGTCTTCTTGCAGGAATTAAATCGGTCGATTGAATATTTCAGACCAGTAAATATCAGTAAAGAACACAAGAAGAAGGAAATGCTTGAGCGGAGTTCAGTCGGATATAAAGGTCTTGTTCCACGCATCTCTTACTCAAGATATTTTACTGTTGACAACGATGCCTCCAATGAGGATATCCTACAAGAAGCAAAGATTTCAAACAACACTACTCGTACAGCGGGGGATGGGCGCCAAAAGAGCACTTATTGCGACAAAATCAAGTCGAGAGGGACATCAGAGCTGGAGAAAAAAGGAGGATCTGCTACAGAAAATAAAATCGACTTAGCCGGAAAGAAATATCTTTTACCGCCCCCGCCAAAATTTAAAGCAAGTACCGTGAAGACGTCTCCGCGAGAGGAATTGCACACCAATAACAGAAGAGAAGACATGAAATTGCGTGGCCAATTACCACAGCTGTGCAATGAGTTTTCACCCAAGTCTTGCAGATGTGCACTTGGAAAAAGTGTCGATATGAGGCCTAGTTCTGCGAATTCAAGCTCAATGTTCACTGACGAGGAAATGCAGCGATTGAAAATTATAAACTCTTGGATGCAGTTTTTCGGATAAAAATAACAATTTTGTCATTATTTTATTGAAATTTCAAAATCTCTTAGCATAAATCGGGAAAGGAGAAGAAACATTTTCCTAATTGCCAGGAAAGGACTGTCGATGTGCTTTATTAGTAATTATCTGGGGACAGCAGTTCTTGTCAAGAAGGCCAGATGTCATGATAGTCTCGATATTGTCTTGAGTAATGAAACAAACTCTGAGAACTAACCTTTAAAAGAACTCGTGAAATCTTAAACAACAACAATAACATTGGAACTTAATTTAAAAAGGGTCCAGACGGACTGCACTAAAGGATAGTAATATATTCCGTCCCGAGTTCACATTGTTAAATAATAACTGAACTGTAGTTTGAGTTTTAATAGTTTTTATTGATCGGGTGATCGCAATCCTTTCCCGACAGGTCAGGAGATGTTTTCGTTGCCGGGTGCCATGAACATCATACTTCTACAAAGGTATATCATCCTTTGGACTCGTCACGCACTCTCCCCCACCCTCCCCCCCCCCCTCTTATTTGCGGAGGAGGAGCGCGTGTCGATGTCCTGCCTAAGAGAGCGTCCACCATCTCAGGAGCCTATCAAACGTCTGACTTTCTGGACTTCATGTGGGGCTTTCTCCCAGGCCTTCACGGTCAGTTCATTTCGGTGACTAAAACGGGACGAAAGCCGTATCGCTCATACACGTGACCCGAAACACCGCGGGACCGTATTTCACGAGTATTTCTGCGGGAAATTCTCGTGACACGAAATACTGCGTCGAAATATCGAAGTCTAGGAGCCGTGAAGCAAAGTCTGATACACATAACGTATATATGCAAAATGTAAGATGAGAAGGTTTGCTATGTTTGTTCTTTAACCAATGTATAATCATCATTTGAGCCGAAGGCTATTTTAATTTTGATGGGTATGCCACTCCTGCATAGATATATTGTTTTCAGTGATGACTGCGGAAACACGGAATCCTCTATACCAGAATTATTCAATTCAACGCCTGAGGCGCTGATTTACTTTTGGTACGTCAGGATATGGTGCTTATTAAAGAGGGGAGCTTATTAGGGACTGAACGCTTATTTTCTTCTGGACATAAACATCGAGCTACATATGTGTGTGATGCGGCGCTTTGCGAAAAACAACAGATACTTTAATCATGAAAGTACTATTTAACAATTAAACCCGTAGCCCTTGCGGGCTACGGGTCAATAGCCCATGAGGCGAAGCCGAATGGGCTATTGACCCGTGGCCCTTGAGGGCGAAGAGTCTAATTGTT